AGGCCCCGAGGTTTGGGTTGGCAACCTCAACCTGCCAGCCGCTGAACGCGGCTTGATGATACTGGGCAATCTGCTTGGCACGGCCCCCCACCAGCACCACCAACTGACCCAATTGAGGGCCCAGCATGACCAGCTCCTGAACCGAATCCCAGTCCTCGACAATCTGCAGACCTCGTGGCTGCTATATTGTGCCAGTCCCCGGTGCAACTACCAACTTCGGATGACCCCGCCGGAGACCACCGCCAGTTTTGCGGCAGACCACGACCTTGCCCTGGCAGCTTGCTTCAACCGACTGCTCGACTCGGTTCCGGTCCCACCTACCCTTGCACTTGGGGGGCCTGGGCCTTACCTCCGCATCGGCTTTGGGCGCCTTGGGCCGACACAATCCGAGTTACCCGGCCATCCAGCACCAATTCAACCATCCAGACGAAGCCACACCATCCGTCCCGGCAGCAGTCAACTGTGCCGCGCAACTTCGGCAACACGGATGGGAACGCCCAAGCTGGGAACAGCTGGCAAGGGGAGAAGTGTGATCTGAAGCGGTCCAAGAGCAAGGGCCCTCCGTGGCCCACGGGTCCCAACACCACTTACCCCACACACTTGTTCTGCCTGCTGCTCCTTCGCTTGTTCTGCCTGCTGCTCCTTCGCCGTGTGCGGCTCCCACTCCCCTTGACCGCGCGCCAGTGCCGGTGCCGTCGCACTCTTGACCCCTTCGGCGTCCACCAGGCTGTGTGCCCACAAGCGGGAATCTTGCGAAGCAGAGGTGCCCCCCTGGAACGCGCAGCGGCCACGATCTGCCGAGAAACCCGCGCCCGGGTCACCACCCATATCCGCGTTGCGGACCTCAACATTGACCAGTTCCACCGCCACGGTGACCGCAGAATCGAAGTCATTGAAAATGTTTTGAACTTGTGGGGTGGCGCCCAATTAGCCATTGACACAACTTTATCACGAAAGCTAGCATCAGCTAGCTGGAGTTGCTCTTGCTTTAGCAAGTCAAGGGCTCGCAGCCTCGAGAATCATGAATCACGTGAAAACTTCACGTGTAGGGCCCCCTCCCCCCCCGCGGGTTCAACTCCCCCCTGGGACGCTTCCGGAACGTGCTATAGTCCTATGTTTAGGTGGCAGGTGAAGTAGGCCACTGTTTGAGTTTGGAAGCGGGGGCATGAAACATTAAATTTACGCGAGGGTTCAAGGCTTCAATGATGAGCGTCACGGGAAGTCAGAAACCAGGCGTATCAGATACACGTGCCTTTGAGCTTCCTTCGGCATCTCAGTGCATATGGCTGACACTTCACTCGACAAAGATGCTCAAACAAACATACATAAACCAGGTGTATCTGATACGCCTGGTTTGTGACTTCCCGTGATGCTCATGATGCTGCGTTGCTTTTCTTCAGTCCCTCATTACATATACATGACGATCCAACAGCAGATTCAACAAGCTCACATGTTCATGACATCGACATTGATAGAAGAAACCAAACAAATCATGCAAGCAGCTTTGTTTTGCCTCTGGGACACCTCTTGGGCACCTCTTATGGCATCCACACTGGTTCAGGTTCGTGAACACATCAGATGCATCGAACAGTGTGGCAAAGTCCAGCCACGCTTCCTTAATTATCGGGGACTTCAATTCTAAGGTTGGCTGTGTCATTGCTGTTTGTGTGTCTTACATGTTCACAACGTTTTACCTCATGAGCATTTGCCTCACTCCGCTTGATGTCCCACCAGTCCGGATGCACCCCTGCTAGCTTTCGTCACCTACCCTCGGCCTCAAGTTGTCCCCCTTCACTCGGGACGGACAGCCGCAGGCACCAACCGGGGGGGCAGCCCTCCACGCAGCACGACGGAGCAAAGAATGAACATATCCCGAACTTCTGGCGACCCGCCGGTGCAGTGCTCGCCATCGAAGCCGAGGGCAGGTGGAACCAAGAAGCGGTCAACTTCATCCGGCTCTTGGCCAAGTCCAAAGCCCGGCAAGCCCCCGCCATGCTGCAACCAGCCATCCCAACCGCCTTGGTCTCCAGGTGGTCAACCCTCCTAAGCCACGCCGCCAGCCAGACTTTTGCAGCCACCCTCCTCACTGAAGAATTGTCCCACCAGCACAACAACATCGACAACAACCTCCCCTCCATCAGCCAACTTCTCGCGGAATCCCCGCTGACACCCCCCACCTCCAGCCGCCTAACCCCATAACAGTGGATTTTGTACATCTGGAGACTGACTGGCTAGTAAAAAACAGTCCTGTGCAGCACTTCTGGCGACGGGCGAGTATACAAACCGTCCAGCCACACCGAGACCCATGCAAGAAAAAGGTTGGAGGGAAGAAAACAATAGTTTAATTTACCACAAGAGAACAGATCAGCAGCAGCTCAACAGTCTTGTCCGTTGACGGCATCTACGACAACATTTCCCGAAATTGTATGCTCCGTGGCCTCCATGCCGTGCCAGAAGCCAATGCCAGCCTGCCATTTGTGCGCGTGTTTTACACCCAGCCCTCCCAGTACGTATGGCACGATGCTGACGGCCAAGCCCATACCATCACCCAAGCTGAGGGCGGGGAGCAAAGGAGATCCCTTGATGCCAGCGCTTTTCGCCCTGGGACAGAGGTCGCCACTCCAAACTGCACAGGAGCACCTTCAACCCGGAGAGCTTCTCTTCGCTTTCCTGGATAATGTGTACGCCCTGGTCCCACCGGCTCGGGTCCGCCCCGTGTTTGACCTTCTCGAACAAGAACTCCGAGCGCAAACCCACATCCAGCTCCAAGGCAAAACCAGAGTGTGGAATGCATCAGGCACCCGCCCACCACACATCGACCTGCCGGCCACCCAAGCAGCCAGCGCAGCAGCAGCCAGCATCCGGGCCCACGGCTGGGAACCGCCAGCGTGGCACAACTCCCGTGCCGCGTTGCGATGCACCAGCGCCTGCGGGCCTTCCAACCCGAGGATGGCAACAACCTGCTGCTGCAGCCATGCATGCGACACACCGGGCCGAAGTCCGCAGCAATTTGCCGCCAGCCAGCCAGGCCCTGCTAGATTCGCAGAGCGGCCTGTATGCCAGCCGAGTTTTCACCACCATTCCTTACGGCCCAGATTCCACCTACACCTCGGAAGCCTTTCGCCTGCTCCTGCTCCGCAGGCTCTGCTTGCCATTGCCTTTGTCCGCACGGACTTGTCGTTGCCGTCGCACTTTTGACCCTTTCGGCGACCATCGATCAGCCTGTGCACAGTCAGGGCTCTTACGCAGCCGGGGCGGGCCGCTCGAACGCGCGGCAACACGAAGATGCCGAGAAGCAGGGGCCCGTGTGACATCCAACACACGGGTTGCCGATTTGAACATCCCCTCCGTTCACACCGTCGATGACCGTCGCATCGAAGTCATCGCCAACGGGCTGCCATTGTGGGGTGGTTGCCAGCTAGCTGTCGACACAACATTGGTGTCGCCCTTGACCCGGGACGGCCAAGCCAGACAGCGCCAAGGCCGATATGCTGGCGCAGCCTTGCGCGATGCTCGGCGCAACAAAGAGCGGGTCTACCCAGAACTGGTCAATGGTGGCCGCAGTCGGTAGATGGAGCGAAGAGTCTTGCACCTTCCTCCGCCTATTGGCTCAACACCGGGCCCGTCAAGCCACACCCCTGCTGCGACAAGCCGTGGCATCAGCCTTGCTCAGCCCCTTGTCAGCTATGCTTTCACATGCGGCTTTCACAGCAGATGCAGCATCCCTTCAGGGCTTGGATTCGGCCCCACACACCAACGTCGAAGGCCAACCCCTCCCCCCCCCTCGGCCAACTCCTCGCACAAGACGGCCTCGACGCAACCCCGCCAGCCAGCCGTCTCCCAGCCCCTTGACACACCCCCTGCCACTTCTAGTCGACTGCCTGGATTATCCTTTCTAGACTTTCTTCCTTCGCGGCCTTGGATTTGGGCCACACTCCGTCTCACCCTGTACATACTCCGTCTCACCCTGTACATAACCCGCCGTTTCACCTTGTGCCATATTTCCGTCTCGCCTCTGACTTGCCATTGCAGGAGACAAAGAATCAAAAAAGATTTCATAACACACGGCAGCTATGAAAACATCCATCCAATTTGCCTGATTGGCTTCGCTTTCCCAGAGCATGCACCTGTTTTATAAACAACAAAAACACACACACAAAAATAGAACAACCAAGAATTGAGTTGGAAGGGTGCTGCCGATGCTGCGTGCAGTGCTTGGGGTCCCTTTTTCCCTTCGTTCTTTGATGGTTCCAGCCCCAAATTTTTGTTTAGTGTGACTTATTTCAGGGACCCAAGCCATAGTTGATAGTCTCAACCCAAAGTTCGCGTTTCGGCCAACGAACCAACTTTACGGTAAATTGGTCTGATTTCTCCGAACGAATGTTTTCCACGATAAATAAAGTATCAAACAGATCCGAGGTGATCACATGAAGACAGGAAGTTTCCCTGACGTTCTACGTTTTTGAAAACATACAGCACATTGGAAATTTTTCTAGGATCACGATTTGACATCAACCTCTCCGACAAACTCGAGGAACTCCGGCGAACTCACAGTTTCACACCCCTGACTGGGATTGAGTCGATTGCATGCAGTCGAAGACAGCACCAAATAAACAAGTCACTCAGCAAGAACGATTACAAGTAAAAAACCGCCGTTGTTCATCGGATCATTCTTCCAATGCTTAACGGGGAATTTTGGCAGAACATGGCCGGAGGCCGCGGATTTCACAGACCGAATTGAGTGAAGGTGATGCACGGGGGCGGAAGGCGGCCAACTGGGATCGATGGGCACGTGACCTACCTGCAGCCATTTGGAGCGACACACAGGCGTGCCAGGACCAATGGCAAACAACACATTTTTTGTTGTCCCTTTTTGATCTCGTATCTTATACGTAGATTCCCATTGTTGCATGGTCGGCGCTGGTGTTTTTGCCATGGTGTTGTTGGAGCCATGGCTTCTTGCGTTGGCAACCCGCCACGCGAAAACAGCGCAATGATCAATGATCATTCCACCCGCCAGTGTCCTGGCAGTGCCTGTGTTTGTTCACCACACCGTCCTGACAACAACTTCGGGTTGGCTTGCAGTCAGGGTTTTGCTTGTGAGGCCGCAGGGCAGGGTGCAAGATTGCTGCTTCCCCGGGTTCCATGTTCAGCTGCACATTGGGATCTCTGTGTGCAGCTGCCAAGGCCAGCCCCGCAGGCCACTTTTAGCATCTTGGCTGGTCAGATGTAGTAGAAAATGATCACAAAACAGAAATGACGGTTCTTCTTGTCATTGTTTTGTTTGTAAATAGGTGGGTGCCTGCTTGGTCAGTTGCGCTCTAGTTGCATTTTTCGCTGTTTTCCCCAGTTTGGCACACCGCCCGGATGTCGCAATTGAAACATTTCACGCTAGGAACGCCTGTCCGAAGAATTGTTGTGAGATTAGCTTGGTTGTGCGGTGTTCATTAGGTGGCAGTGTTCCAGAGCCAGATTCTGAAGTCGCGCCCCCTGAAGACGATGTGCCGTCCCCAGCACATGTTTGGCGTTCCGTGTTTTTTGCTGTCAGAACTTTGAGGTTCCACTGGCACCTTGGGCTGCGGCGCGCGCAGCGACCCTAACTTGTTCGCAGAACGCACATGCGAACAGCAATTTGCCGGACAAAATGCGTAATGATGAATGCACACACACAAATGTACGGCACACATGTAAATTACAAAGTGAGGGGCAGCTCATGGGGCCAGGCTGAAACTAATTTTAGCGAAAAACAACCTTTTTAGGGGCATCATGGGGAAGGGATAGAGATGGCCTAACATGATGGTTTTCGAAGACAAAAATATCATTTGCCAGGGTGTGTAACACGATTACTGCCGGCTTTCGTTCATTTTCTGCTCAAGGGCTCATTTGGCTGTCAATTCGGGCCGCGGCTTGCATACTTCACATGCAATGCGCCAACCAATCGGCATTTCGAACTAGCGAAGGTGAGTCCAACGGGTCCATCCTTTGACGTTTTCGTTTTAAGTTTCCCCATTAGTATATAATTAAAAACGCGCGACCCGTCAGGGGCTGATCCAACCAATTTGTTTTGCCAAGTTTGGTTTGAATTCCCTAGCGGGCTCGTGGCCCAGATTTCCACGATCGCTTTCAGTCAGGCCCAGTTTTGTGTACAGATTTTGCATTCAGCGGGGCAACTTGATTAGTTGTTGTTTTGGATGCCAGTCATGCACACCAGTGACCATTTGGCACAGTTGGCCCACTGATTTGTTGATTTTTTGCCTTGCCGGTTTGACTCTGTCCTCGCAACCGTGTGTGTCAAGAAGGAACTCCAATCAGTTCGGCACATGCTTTCAACCTGCGGGCATGTATGAATGGCACTTGATGCACGAAGAACGTGTTAAAACCTTGTGGACCGTGGAGTGGGATGTTTCAACTGGGGTTTGGTGTTTGAGCCAAATTGGGCCGCAGGAGATGGATCAAATTGACAAGAACCTGTAACAATTGAGAGTTTCAATCAATCATCCTGGAACTGCAGAATTTGGGAATGCGAATCAGAAAAAAAAGAATTGTGCAAGGTCTTGCCTACATCGCATGCCCGGCGAACAAGGTTGTTGGCGTTTGCTTGGAGAGGGGTGATGCAAATGTGAGTTTGTAGGCGTGTTTCCACACCAGCTGGACGTTTTGTGGTCGGAAACCAAGAAATCGTTGGCAGGTGCATTTCAGATTCCAGCTCCTGTTGGAACTCCGTCTTTCTTTCTTTCTTTCTTTCTTTCGTTCCTTCGTTCGTTCGTTCTTTCTTTCTTTTCCCCAGATAGCGAAGCTTTGGGGTTCTTACTTAAAATAACAGTGAGTTACCCGTGCGCGCTTTCGAGGCAGGTTGCTGGTGCTGGGTGCTGGTGCTGGTGCTGGTGCTGTGAGCTGGCTGTGCACGTGGTGGAGACAGGTTGCTGGTGCTGGTGCCGGGTGCCGGTGCTGGTGCTGTGAGCTGGCTGTGCACGTGGTGGAGGCATACCCTCACCTAGTAGGGTCCAGAATGGGAGACCCTCGAGGGATAGACTGGTTGGGGTCTAAGATGGGTCCCGCTACCATTGTGGACCTTTTCGCTTGATCACTGTAGACAATTGAACGGGAGTCAGAATTTCATGATTAACTTCTTAAATCAGCTCGACGTGACGTCACATGACAAGGTCTAGATTGGTTTTCCCTTAGCGGGGGAAAATGATTTCAGACCCCCTCCAGAATTCCCGGTCTGAGGGTCTAGGACTTAAGCACGATCGGCCGCAAGGCCTAGTGAATAAGATGATGGACCCCACCTTTGGGGGTCTACAAAGCAATACCCGTTGGAAAGCCCATACTTTTTCCCAGACGTCAGGGACATTTTATTATTATGATTTTTTCTCGCACCGAACCTCAGTCACAGGATTCCAAAAATAACACAAAAAAATTTAAGGACATGCAATTCCAATGTTGACGCAGGAAAAATAAGAGATATTGAAAAAACAAATCATTGGGAATTCCTAGAAGGATGGAATGGTTCAGCACAGGATTTCACAACAGTTTCATTGCCTCTCCTGTAACAATAGAGTAAGGTCTGACCCAGGAATTTAATATGTTGGTTGGTCTAGAGTCTAGCAAGGATGCTTTCTTTTATGTAAATCCTGTGCCGACGCAAGGCGAACCTCCGAAGTCGATCAACATGGTTCTTTGCACAACACACACTCAGAGAGATCATCGACCGATTCCAACAGTAGACTCTGCCAGTCCCAAAAGTCTGTATCCCCACTGCTGCGAATGGCGGCCCACACTGAATCTTCTCCAACCAAGTGAGCCATGTCATGACCTGTGCCCGGAGAAGGTTAAAGAATGGGAGTGGATTTAGGGCCTCCAACCTACTAGCGATGGCCTCCACCTAGAAGCGTTCTTTTGAAAAATAACACAAAGAATGAGAGTGGCTTTGGTTCCGTTGTGAGGACAAGGAGGGCAGGGACACCCCTGAACCAGGACTTTAATATGCCAGGATGTTTGTTACACATGAGCTTCTTCAACCTCTGTACTAGGATTCCATAAAACAGGTTGACGCAGGATTCCATAAATGCTCAAAACCCTCAAGTATTTTTTGGCTGCCAACCTTGGCACACAAAAAAATAAAGGAATGACCTCAGCCCGAAAGGATTTTATATAATAAAATCCTGCGTCAAACCTTTAGCGTACCTTCCTACCAGTATAAAGCAACCATCAAGGGTCCCACCAAGTAGTTGAGGGTATGTGGAGGCAGGTTGCTGGTGCTGGTGCTGGCGCTGCTAATACTGTGAACTGGCTGTGCAAGGTTGCTGGTGCTGGTGCCCGGTGCCGGGTGCCGATGCTGGTGGTGGTGCTGTGAGCCGGTGCTGGTGCTGTGAGCTGGCTGTGCACGTGGTGGAGACAGGTTGCTGGTGCTGGTGCCGGGTGCCGGTGCTGGTGCCCGCTTCTGACAGTGAAGTGATAACAACCGCCGCTTCTGACAGTGAAGGGTAACAAACCGCCGCTTGCAGCAGTGAAGGGCGACCAAGCGCCGCTTCGGACAATGACGTGCCAGCAGTCATGGGCCGCATGAACTTATGCGCGTAACATCATACGGTGTTGTCGCTTGAGCGTTCTTTGTCTATTAGCGCTGTGGGGTATTTACACTCTTCAGGTTCTGTTTTGGCCGGCAGCTGTGTCAAGGGCTGTACTGTTTGCGCGCACGCTTTTCTACGTATAGTGTTCTATGCGCAACGTCAGGCTCTCAACCGACCATTGTTCCAGCATGTTTCAGCATGCTACACACACAATAGTCGTGCTGGATGCTGCTTGGCCTTGGATGAGTGAAGCCTACGGGGTTTGCCGTTTGTGCGCATACTTTTGTGCGCATAACCTTTTGCGCGCAAGGTCATGCGGCCTTATCGTCCTGCAGATCGTTGCTTCAAGCGTGCTACAAAGCCAATAGTGGCACTGGATACTGCTTGGCCTTGGGCCAATGACACTTACGGGCCTTGCTGTTTGCGCGCATACTTTTGTACGCATAAACTTTTACGCGCAAGATCATACGGTCATACGTTATTATTCCCCAAATAGGGATAGCTATGGGGTTCTTGCTGCAAATAAGAATGAGCTGGCTGCGCTTTCGAAAGGGTGTCGGTGGTGGTCCTGAATGCTGGTGCTGTGAGCTGGCTGAGCGCGCGTTTAAGACGGGGAGGTCCTGTAAGCTGGCTGTGACGGCTGCGTACATTCTTGGTCCAGCTAGTCGCATGTCAACAGGTCGTAGGATTCTGCCTAGCTATCTGGGTCTATGCTGGTGTAATTTTCATTTTTTCCCAAACAGTTTACTGTTACGGGTTCTCAATTCTTTCTTAAGATGTGTCCGCCCTTTGTGTCACTGCTGGTGTCCGCCCTTTTCGGCTGGCCATGTAGCATTTCTATCCATTTGTCTCCCAGGTCTGTCGCTGCTGGTGTCCGCCCTTTTCCGCTGACCATGTAGCATTTCTATTCATGTGTCTCCCAGGTCTGTCACTGCTGGTGTCCGCCCTTTTCGGCTGGCCATGTAGCATTTCTATCCATTTGTCTCCCAGGTCTTTCGCTGCTGGTGTCCGCCCTTTTCCGCTGGCCATCTAGCATTTCTATCCATTTGCAACATTTCTATTCACTTGTCTCCCAGGTCTGTCACTGGTGGTGCGGCCCTTTTCCGCTGGCCATGCAGCGTTTCTATTCATTTGTCTCCCAGATCTGTCAAGCAGTCCGCCCTTTTCCGCTGACCATGTAGCATTTCTATTCATTTGTCCCCCAGGTCTGTCACTGCGGTGTCCGCCTCTGCCTTGCAATCCTTTACATTTGTCTCCCAGCTCTGGGCTGCGGTGTCCGCCTCTGCCTTGCAATCCTTCACATTTATCTCCCAGCGCCGGGCTGCTCTGTCCGCCTCTGCCTTGCAATCCTTAGACCTTTGAACGGTAGTCACTCAGAATTTCATGATTACCTTTTTAAATCAGCTCGACATGACGTCACATGACAAGGTCTAGATTGGTTTTCCCTTAGCGGGGGAAAATGATTTCAGACCCTGTCCAGACTTCCACGGTCTGAGCATCTAGGACTTAAGCACGATCGGCCGCAAGGCCTAGTGAATAAGATGACAGACCCCACGTTTGGGGGTCTACAAAGCAACCATCGAGGGTCCCACTAAGTAGTTGAGGGTATGTGGAGGCAGGTTGCTGGTGCTGGTGCTGGTGCTGCTGTTGCTGTGAGCTGGCTGTGCAAGGTTGCTGGTGCTGGTGCCCGCTGCCGGGTGCCGATGCTGGTGGTGGTGCTGTGAGCCGGTGCTGGTGCTGTGAGCTGGCTGTGCGCGTGGTGGAGGCAGGTTGCTGGTGCTGGTGCCGGGTGCCGGTGATGGTGCCCGCTTCTGACAGTGAAGTGATAACAACCGCCGCTTCTGACAGTGAAGGGTAACAAACCGCCGCTTGCAGCAGTGAGGGCGACCAAGCGCCGCTTCTGACAATGACGCGCCAGCAGTCATGGGCCGCGTGAACTTGTGCGCGCAACATCATACGGTGTTGTCGCTTGAGCGTTCTTTGTCTATTAGCACTGTGGGGTATTTACACTCTTCTCTTCAGGTTCTGTTTTGGCCGGCAGCTGTGCAAGGGCTGTACTGTTTGCGCGTTTTTTTTAACGTAGAGTGTTCTATGCGCAACGTCAGGCTCTCAACCGACCATTGTTCCAGCATGTTTCAGCCTGCTACACACAATAGTCGTGCTGGATGCTGCTTGGCCTTGGATGAGTGAAGCCTACGAGGTTTGCCGTTTGTGCGCATACTTTTGTGCGCATAACCTTTTACGCGCAAGGTCATGCGGCCTTGTCGTCCTGCAGATCGTTGCTTCAAGCATGCTACAAAGTCAATAGTGGCGCTGGATACTGCTTGGCCTTGGGCCAATGACACTTACGGGCCTTGCTGTTTGCGCGCATACTTTTGTACGCATAAACTTATACGCGCAAGATCATACGGTCATACGTTTTTATTCCCCAATATGGGGTTCTTGCTGCAAATAAGAATGAGCTGGCTGCGCTTTCAAAAGGGTGTCGGTGGTGGTCCTGGGTGCTGGTGCTGTGAGCTGGCTGAGCGCGCGTTTAAGACGGGGAGGTCCCATAAGCTCGCTGTGCAGGCTGCGTACATTCTTGGTCCAGCGGGTCAACAGGTCGTGGGATTCTGCCTAGCTATCTGGGTCTATGCTGGTGTAAATTTTCATTTTCATTTTTCCCCAGATGGCGAAGCTATTGGGGTTCTTACTTCAATTAACAATGAGTTGCCTGCGCGCGCTTTCGAGACAGGTTGCTGGTGCTGGGTGCTGGTGCTGGTGCTGTGAGCTGGCTGTGCACGTGGTGGAGACAAGTTGCCGGTGCTGGGTGCTGGTGCCGGTGCTGGTGCTGGGCGCCGGGTGCTGGTGTGCTGGCGCTGTTGCTGGCGGTGCTGGTGCCGGGCGCCGGTGCCGGTGCTGGTGCTGGTGCTGGGTGCTGGTGCTGGTGCTGGTTGCATATGTGAGCGGGTCTATTTTCGGATGTTTTTTGTCCAGATAGCGAGGCTATGGGGTTCTTACTTCAAATAACAAGAGCTGACTGGGTGCCAGTGCTGGGCGCCGGTGCCGGGTGCTGGTGCGGGCTGTGGCGCCGGCGCTGGGTGCTGTGAGCTGGCTGCGCGCGTGGTGGAGACACGGTGCCGGGGCTGGGTGCTGGCAGTGCGCGTGGTAGAGAGACAGCGGGCTTCTGACAGTGAAGTGATAACAAACGCCGCTTCTGACAGTGAAGGGTAAACAAACCGCCGCTTGCAGCAGTGAAGGGCGACCAAGCGCCGCTTCTGACAATGAAGTGCGAGCAGGGCCGCATGCCCTTATGCACGCAACATTCTGTTGTCGCTTGAGCGTTCTTTGTCTTTTAGCGCTGTGGAGTATTTTACACCCTTCACGTTCGTTCTGTTTTGGCCGACTGACAGCTGTGTCAAGGGCTGTACTGTTTGCGCGCGCATACTTTTGCAGGTATAATGTTCTATGCGCAACGTCAGGCTCTCAACCGACCATTGTTTCAGCATGTTTCAGCATGCTACACACAATAGTCATGCTGGATACTGCTTGGCCTTGGGCGAGTGAAGCCTACGGGCTTTGCCGTTTGTGCGCACACTTTTGCGCGCATAAACTTATATGCGCAAGATCATACGGCTTTATCGTTCTGCAGATCGTATGCTACAAAGTCAATAGTGGCGCTGGTTACTGCTTGGCCTTGGGCCAATGAGACTTACGGGCTTTGCTGTTTTCGCGCGTACTTTTGCGCGCACAAACTTGCACGCGCAAGATCATACGTTGTTATTCCCCAAGTAGGGATAGCTATGGGGTTCTTGCTGCAAAAAAAGAGCTGGCTGCGCGCGCTTTCCAAGGGCGTCGGTGCTGGTGCTGGTCCTGGGCGCTGGTGCTGTGAGCTGGCTGAGCGCACGTCGAAAACGGGCGGCGGCGCTGGTCGGGCGCTGGTGTCAGCTGATTGTGCGCTCTGTGGAGGTGTCGTAAGCTGGCTGCGCACGCTGCGTGCCTTCTTGGTCCAGCCAGTCGCATGTCAACAGGTCGTGGGATTCTGCCTGGCTATCTGGGTCTATGCTGGTGTAATTTTTTATTTTTATTTATTTATTTTTTCTTCTTGTTGCATTTCCTTCATGTCGTTCACAATCCTGCCACAAAACTATATCCATGCATGGGGATCTGCTCCTGGAAGATAGGCCTTAAGTTCGTATGACAGACGATCAACAACGAATGTGGTCTTTGCCATGAAGTGTGCTTTCTGCAGCTTTACTATGTTTTTCTCGATTTCTTTCCAAAGCCTAGCCCATGATTATGTGCCTGGTATTTCCGAGTCATGTTTCAGGGCCTTGTTAGTTTCAGGTCTGTGTAGAGAAAAGCGAACTTTTGAGCCTGTCACCTGAAAATATTCCAAAAAGCTTCGGCACAGGTTCAACAAAAGGTTTCGACGCGATGCGGGATCCAAGGGTGACGAGCAGAAGCAGTTGGCTCGATGGGCCGGGGCCCGCAACAACGTGGCAGATCTATTTTTTCAATCCCCAGCGTCCGAGGCAGAACATCTCAATGAGGATGGGTGGTGAGTGGTCTAAATCACTTGCAATCCCCCGTAAGTGCCTGTGTGTGGGCCCGCACAGGCATGAAAGGTGCCATTGCTTCGAATCATTTATGGTGCAGGAAGTGCTGGCTTTGACTCGGGAAAGAGCGCGGGCCTCGTATGATGTGGCCAGACAGGCATTTGTCGCTTCGCCAGTGTGCTTGTGAGGACAGTTTGGCGGGAAAGTTGGCCGCAGCCTAAGTTTGATCGTTTACCTTTCGTTCGTCAGTAAGCTGGTCCCGCGCTTGCATGCGCAGGCTGATGCCAATGCTGCAAATGTAAAACTGCAGATGGAGCCCATGGCTGAACTTTTAGCTTCTGGAGGGTGAATGACAATGAAGTATTGAGACGCGATCCATTGGGAAATTGGAACGTGACACAAAACAAACTTTTGCTTGTGAGAGTCTAGAGCTGAGGTTGGAGCATCTTCGCAGGGTAAGTGCTGAGTTCCCCGGCGTAAGTTTGTTTTTGTACTCTTCCAGGCATACTTCCGCCTATGGTTGCGCAGGTTTGAGCGTCTTGGGGGCGGCTCGCAACATAGTTTCTGGCAATCAGCATTGACAATTTGTTGATGCTTGTTTCCTTTAGAATGTCCTTAGGTGATGTTGGCGTTCTAAATGCAATCGTCGAAACCCGCGATCTTGAAAAGCAGCGAGCCACTTAGAGCCGCGAAAACATGTCCAGCACCTCTAGGAACAGCAGGAAGAGATTTGGGGAGGTACGCTTGCATTCTCTCAGGCTTCAAGCCTCTACCGCTGAAGTTCAAGAGCTTCGGACTGAGCGGAAAGGCCAGACTTGGAGTTGTGGGCCATGTTGCCCCTGTATGATTGAAAACATTTTTGGAGTCTGCGACAAGCCACGTTTGTTACAGACAAAGCTGTGCAAGGCATTGACGCAGCGCACGCATTTTCACAACAGGCGGACTGTCTTGAAAGCAAAAATGGGGCCATATGTTTTTTCGCTCTGCAGATGGTGCAGCAGTTGCACAAAGAAATGGAAGAGTCAAGAGCCTATGTAATTACAAGAGATCGTTCAACCAGCTGCAGCCAATGCCTCATCGTGTTTGAGCAGAGCTGAGGCTGCGGGGAAGGCACAAGAACTTGCAAGATCAATGTGAGAATTGTCTGGGTCATAGTGATATGGCGTGGCCTGCTTCGACTCCAGGTGTTTGGACCAATTGACATTGATAGAATGGTGTTGTACAACTTCCCAACAAGGGACTATCTCCGAGGAGAGTTCAGGAGACTGAACACTGCACTCAGCGCCAAGTCTGAGAGCCATGTTACTAGCCACTTGGAGGATCCAATGCCACCCAAACCTCTTGCACAGCAGAAGCAACCAACAAACTCACCAAAGGACGGAGGAGCGTGTGCGTCTTTTGGAGCGAAAGCGAAAGAGGGATAGCCTCCAAACAAGATAGACAGAAGGCATGCGTCACATATGTGCTCCCTCACTTCTTTTGAAGATCGCAAGCTTTTGGACCGTCGCGAGGTGCTTATACTGCAAAAACCGAGGGGGCCTTCTTGAGAAGAGAACAAGCTTGGTGCTATCGTCGCTGCAGGTCCAGCCTAGACCCTACCCTGCTCAGTGCACCTGGCTAGGCCCTGCCCCGAGGTCCTTCCTGAGGTCCTGGGACTTCGGATCCCCGGCCAATAGGCCTAAAAATATCGCTGGGACCGGGCTTCTTTGCACTGTAATTTGCTTGTCATCTCTACCTTTCATCCACCTCATCTGCACTCAGCTGTTACAACCCCTCCTTTATTCAATGGACAAAACAGGACATGAGAGTTACAATTTTTCAAAATTTTCCAATCCAAGAAGCGTGTTGATTCTGTGGAAGCGAGGGGATTTCAAGTTGTCAGAATTGGCGTTGTCAAATAAGGCAAGGCTGAATGCAGTCGTCTCAACGATTTGCATGGACGGATCCTTAGTCTGGTCCTGCAATATTTGGTATTCAGATGCGTGAAGAATGTTTGGGTCTTCTGAGAGTAGAGAGGCTACTCTTGCTGTCCTTTCTTGCTTTTGTTTGCTGTCAGGTCTGCCCGTTGGACATGGCATTGTTCTACACTTCCTTCCTTTGTACATCACCTGTGCACTTGAACCCCACTTTAGAAGCTGGCATGGCTAGACCTTGCGTTTCTCCAGACTATGTAGAGCCACCTGCCTCTCGCTTGTCATACCGACTGTCATACCTGTTGTTCGATAGCACGGCGCCATTGTTGACTCCGTTTTGCCTGTTCGCTTGGCTTGCTTTGGGTGTTTGGCAAGTCATTGTTGGTAATCCGTATCACCACTGCACCACATTTGTGTTTGGCCAATCCTTGCAAGCAAAGGAAGCGAGCGAGAGCACCGACGCAGACTTGAGCTCAATCCTCAGAGCCTGTAGGCACTTCCTCCGTCTACATAGTCGTAAATGTAACTATTATATAGCCGCGGCGATTGTCCCCGAAACATTGGAACAGTAAGTGGCGAAGCTTCTGTGAGACCCTACTAGTACCCTAAAAGGATGCTGCTAAAGTTCTTAAAGATCCCAATCTATACCTTCGGGGTGTGGTGTTTAAGCAGGGCTGTGTTTCTTTTCTTCATTGCGAGGTCCTAGCATGTCCACTTCAGCTCGTGTTTCGCTTAAGGTCCCACCTTCAAAACCAGAGCAGTGACAAGGAGGCAGCAGCATCTGCCCGGCAGGAGCACTCGTTCCCTTTGGTTGGACAGTTTTGCGATAGCGGTAAATTCTATTTAATTAAAGTTACTTGTTACTTACTAGTAGCGATGCCCTTTGCTCCTAGTAGCGTCCTTGCTTTTGCGATACACGGCGCACCTTTACACTTGAAACTTGGCACCGGAGGAGTTTTTCCAAAAAGAGCATCGAAAGGCGACTCTTAGCGGTGCTTGGCCGCAGTTTCACTCTGTGTTGGTCCAGGCTTGGGACGATCTGCAGCGTGCACATTGGGTAGAGAAGGAGAAGGCAAGATCAACACGTGGAGGATGGATTGTGATGAAGTAAAGATCTTCCGTTCCCCAAAGGTTTGTAGCCTCTCCCCTCCAACTTCGTGATTCTGCAGCAGTTTTCCTAACAATCGTTGCTTTGCACTATGCCCGTTTCTTGATTCGTGCCCTGTGGCGTGAAGCGCGAAAAGTACTATATAAATAAACTTAAATCAGCGCTTCAATTTTTAGCGTCTCAGTTTTGGGGGATTTGGTAGTTTGGCTCAAGGTATCTGAGGTTCAGGCCTTTCTTTCATCTCCCCTTTTTTGACACTATGGAAGCTGTAACTGTAGCGCTTTTCCTGGCCACTGGCCAGGATGCCAGATTCCAATCAATTACTCAGCTGGCGCAGGGTGCTCGCTCACTACTTGTACTGTTCGGTTGTACATGTTCCGTTGCCTCAGTGGGTTGGTGTGTATTACATGTACTGAGGCAAGACGCGATAGCCTTGGTGTCTGAATTGCAGGCTGTGCGTGAGTGCTCTTGCATCAGGAAAGCGTAAAGATGTAGAGGTTGCCATGATTTGCTTGCAGGATGGCTTTGTGGAGCAAACCAAGAAGTACAATGAGCCCGACACAAAGAGCAAAGCGGCAAAAGCGTAGCACACGGATTCCAGCCAACCCCAACTCCAGGCTTTCAAAGAGCGTCCGCAACCAACAGAGAGAATTGACGTCGGACGTGCAAGAGGCCACGTGGCAGGGTTGGTAGCTTTAGCTGGAACATCGTGCAGTCACACTTAGCAGCAACTTTCAACGCTGTCAGAGATTTCAGAGGCGCAGCAGTTAGCTCAACTTTCAGAACAGTTTGCTCTAGAACTTCGACAACTCTTAGGCGAGACTGCTAAGCTTCCATCACTTGTCAGTCAAAGTCAAGCAAGTGCTCCCTGACACTCTTGAAAGCAAATAATGTTATTAGGTTGGAGGCCATGGCTATTATATAATAGGTTGGAGCCATTGCTATTAAAAGGTTGACGTCACACTGTTGAGCTGGATTTTCAAAACGCCAGCCCAAGGCCGCACGCGTGAAACAAACTCGGTGGGTGAGGCCAGGATCAGAGCATGTTTGGAGGTTTGTCTTTAGAGGTGTTTCTTGTTCCGTCACGAGGAGCAATGGCGTCAAGAAGCTCATAAGCTTGAAGACCAGCTCCGAAACCTTACCCTGTCTGGAAACTCACATCATGGCAGCACGCATGGTTTGCATACCATATGAATCCAAATGTCCTCACCCATATCATGACGAGGCATCACAGAGAGGCTGCAAAGACCGTTCGCGAGCTGCGCAAGGTCCGGAGGTAGTCGCATGTGGCTTGTAAGGCCTCGCAGCGCAGACATCCTGGGTTCCATTGGAAGGCGGATGATCACCACAAAGTTCAACAATCTGAGCGCATGCAAGCAGAGAAGGAGCGTCAAGAGAGGAAGCGAGAACGCGGGGTGCCCAATGTTTGTCACTCTGGTGCGCATTGATATGAAGATGGCCAAGCTTCTCATCACTCACTGTGGATTTTTCAGGTCATGAGCTTTTCAGCAACCCAAACATCGTCAGACAAATGGCTCAGGCGTAGGGTTTGCAGGGCTTCGAGCTTTGCTATCAGTTTGTGAGTAGCTGAGGCAGTCGCTGGAATTGAAGTGTACAAGGTGGCACCGTGCTCAGTTCAGTTGATTTCTATAGAAGTTCAAGCACCCAAAACTGCCAACACTTTGCAGCTGTTGCATGGTGGCTTTCTGAGGATGAGAAGAATCGCAGAGAAAAGCCTCAAACCCATGTGCAATTCGTGCCACGCCGATATTGCGTCTCGCTTGTCCTCGCTTGATGCGTTTGAGGCGACGGCTCCGAGTTGTTTGTGACATCAAGTCAGGTCGAGGCGGAGCTGCCGACGAAAGTTGGTAAAGTCAGAAGACTGGAACGTCAGACGTGTGTTGGCTAAACCATGTCTTGCGGCCATTCTAGCCAATCGTTGCGAGAATCCTCTGCAAGACATGCAGGTGGGCCTCGACCTGATCTACAGCTACGTTGGTCAAAGGCCCGTCACAGTTTGATTTCTGCAAGTTGTTGCTCCTGCGTGTGACGCCACGAGAATCAGTTTTTCTTGAGGCTCCGTACCGCGATTGGCCTGACAGAAGTTCCTGCGACCTCACACAGGTTTGAACCCTTGTGATTCAAGCAATGGCGTGTCTCGCTGCAATTTCGAGGTTGTCAGCTTGGGATATGGCTTTGCATCCAGAGCCGGGAGCTTACCGTGGCAACTTACGGCCTATTGCCTTTTGGATCGCGGCTTAGGCTACCTGGCTCTTCAAAGATGTTCCTCCTTACCACTGCTTCTCCGTGCGTTTGTCTTAGCCCAGACGCAGACAGCAATGCAAGAAGAGCGCTGCAAGCCCCTCACTCTCACGTGTTCGAGGCAGACACCGTACCGGACCTTTGATTTCATATGCAGTTCAGACAGAGACGTCGAGGCAGATGGCACAGAAAGCTGAGACGCATATGATGGTTCAGTTCGAAGTGCTTTTGTTATGCTTCCCTTCGCAACTCAAACGTGCAGACCAAGCGCCTTGGGAGGCTCTTGTGCTGGTCATCAGCCGGTTGTGTACCAGGAGCCAACCACGGGCTTTAGCCGTTTGGCTCTTCTGAGCGTTTTGCTTGTAGGAGCCAGGGCTGGCCACTCTACGGTGGGGTTCATTCACACGCAAGGCGCTTCTTCTGAATTGGTTTGTGAGCGGTTTGCCGTGGACAAAGTCACAGACGAACTTCAGGTTTGTGGCTATGAAAGGTTGGACAAAGGTTCAGCCCCAGCCTCACAACTCAAACGAAACCAATTGTCAACTTCAGCGTTTTCAGCTGAGGGTCGCATGCCGAGCAAGCAAGAACACCTTGAGCACACATCTTCTTGAGGCACTCGCAGAGTTCAGGAAGATTTAAAAACTATCGGTCAGCATTATCGGCATGGCAAAAGATCATATAGAATCATGTAGACATGATAAGGTCAGTACTGTTTTGGGAAAACACACTCCAAACTTCACCTTTGCCGTTTCGAAGGCTGTTGCAAAGATGCAGTCTTCATCACGTACTTGACCTCAGACAATTAATTTGATTCAAATCTGTCCGCATTGTTCCTGCATTCCTGTTTGAGCTGCCATGACAAGAGGATCCCAGTGACCTTTCCTTCACTGTCTATTTGCATCTACATATTTACTCTTGAACTGGTGATGCAAACGCTATGTTGCTGCTTTGATGACCTCGTGGGAATGTCGGCGCAATAAGGGCCGAAGCAGGCGACCTCACCGAGTAAGTAGCTATCAGGCTAGGACAGTACGGGGTGTTAGGATCAGGAGACCTTGGGTCAGCTACCAGGAAGCTCCCCCCTGCTTTGCGAGGGCAGGAGAAGCTTCCTTCCGTTCCATTCGGTAGGGAAAAACTCATGGAGTTTGGTGCGCACCAGACGGACGCCGATGGCGTTGTCCTTCTAGATGCGCAGAATGCCGCGTTCTTGCGCGTTTCCCCGGGCTTTAGCAGAGATTGCTGCCTGCCCGTGAAAGCTGTTGACTGCACGATCGTCTGCTGTGCCAATTGTGACCCGCCGCCCAGCGTCATGAAAGGAGCGATTTCCCTTCCATCTAAAGATTGAGATTGATGTGGGATAGCAATGAGGCGCTTCAACACCAGCGACGCCAACACTGGTTTGCAGTCGCTAGTACTTGTTTTCGATTTCTTGTTTGAGGGTATGGGTGCTTATCGTTTGGGGGGCTTGCCCCGTGGGATTCAATCTTTTGAGCTGTCTTTAAAGATGGCATCCTTTAAGTTCGTGACAGACATGGACATGGTCCATGGTGATTGTTCTAGAATGCCCGCAACGATTGTTTTCAAGAAGCTGGGTTGCCTGGCCTTCAGCCAGTCTTTGAGGCCCAAGCCACTTGCCACCTCCTCCAAGCGAGACTGAAGTGGTGCGCCACGCTTTGGGTCGAATTGAGCAACTTGGCAATACTCCATACTCTGTCGTGCAGGAGTCGGAGGATCCTTCGCAACAGTCGTTGGAAACTGGGTGAGGAAGCATGGTAGCCAAGGTAGCTGCGACTTTGTGAACTCAAACACGTGTAACCTTCTCACGGATTGTGGTCGGTAGTGCGTCACCTCGTGGCCTTGCGCATGAGGTAGCTTGTACATAAATTGCCAGTGAGCTGCGGGCAAAACTCGCAGCTTGAACAAGTGTGCTTCGAGAAAGTGTGGGGGAGGCAAGATGGCCATGGCATTCTCGAGGTACACGGCACAGTGTTTATTTGTTGCACTGAGTTGCACTGATTCTTGGGCAACCAATGTACAGTAGTGTAAATGGGTGCCACACACATGGAGTGATGCACACAGAGTTCACAAACTGAAATATGGTTTCTGGGTGTTTGATTTAGGAACGAACGCAGCGTTTCGATCCCTTGGCGTGGGGTATATATAGCTGCTCAAGGTTTGCTAGTGGTAGGTACCGATCAGGTTCCTGTACTGTCCAAATGGCTTGGTGTGCCCAGACCCAAGCATTGTGCCATGGACATGGTCACGCTTCTGGAAGTCTAGATCAACTGCAGGTCCGAAGAGTTCTGCTTCTGAGCTTTCTGCTGGTCTATGCGGCCTGGTTTCAGTATTTGAATCATAGAATTATTGGCTGTCACAAACCTTGCCCTAGGACCCCAGCCGTCCGGCTAGGAGTCTCTCCAACGACTTGATTTGGTCCCGCTACGTTGCTTTGGGATTTGGTAAGGTGTACTTCGCAAACTTCGCTAACTTCCTTGGACCTCAGCCAGAGCAAGGCTAGTTGTAGCAAGAAGGAACCGATCCTAGCAGACTCATGGTAAGCCAACAGAAAGAATACAATTTGAGGAGTGGTCGGAGATTTGTGGTTTGTCAGGTAGACGCAGCAAGCCAAGGGCTGAAGCACTACGAACTGATCCTGCAGTTCCTTGGAGGGAAGCATCAGACGCCTTTTTATAAAAGTATATATGTCAATGTCAACCCTCAAACCTTCAGACTTTCCATCGTTCTCAGCCTTTCGCGACTGGAAAGTCTGCACAATTTGGTCCATCCTGTTCCACGTTCCTGCCATTCGCACCAGCTTAGGAGCAAGAGCAGCCAGTCAGCAAGGAAGATCCCAAGGCACAGCCATGCAGAAAGCCGCGTTATGGCATGGTTGAAGCCATGGTAACTTGTTGGGCATTGGTACGCACTCTGGAAGCAAGCAACCCGGGAGGCCATGGAAAATGCTCTGTGGACTCTTTTGACACTGGCATTTTGGATCACATTTTACAGAACAGTCGTCGTTGAGGACACTGACTCGAGAGAGTTGAGAGACTCACTGACGGTAGTTTCTGACTTTTGGCCGCTGTCAGCATGGTGACTGTTCCCAGTAGCGTCCTTGCTCCTAGTAGTATGGCCAGGAGCCCCTAGTAGCGAACATTGCTCCTAGTAGCGATGCCAGGAGCCCCTAGTAGCGTCCTTTTTGTTGCAGGACATGTACCTCAAACAGCAAGCTATCAGAAGTGCTGCGATGATACAAGGCCTTGGCGGATCAGAGGTCCCAATGTTTCCCGTCGGCTTCTCAATGGAACACAAAAACTTTGCCAAACCGTTGATTTTGTAATCTCAGATCCTGAGGTTTGAAAGGACCTGCAAGTGTCTGAGAAATTGAAGCCTCGACACGTGTAGTGATTACGGGCGTGTGCCATGGCCAGGCTATGTTAGGTACCAGCTAGCCTGTGCTCAATTAGCGTGCATTTTGGGCGCTCGATGCTTTTGATTCTGCAAAGTTGTCCAATACCGCATGTTACTTGTTTGATTGATTGTCTGTTTGTATAAAAGCTGTGATATCGAATCCGCTCATTTTCATGCTCTTTCCCGTTTGGTCGTGGCGTTGGGTGCACGTGCCAGCCCCACTTTGCCATGCATTGTTCCTGCAAAAGGAATTCGAACACGCTCCTTTCAATGGCTGTGAGTGGCAGTGAGTTCACTGCAGCAGCCTGCAGGAGTGGTTCCAACCCTGCTCGCAGGGTTCGCAGTTGATGCGGACCCTACGGGCTTCGATGATAGATGACAAATGCTTGTGGTGGCATCGTTGCTGTGCTTCGCTTATATATCATTTAAGTTGGGTCCGGCAGCAGGAAGTCACTGCCCGTAGAATCTGGGCTCTTCCCACCTATATAGACGGTAGTCAAGGAGTGGGTAGCTCCAGGAAGTGCAGACCAGTGCAGTCCTCAGATGTGCTTAGCTTCTAGATTGACTTCCTAGACCTTTAGATCTAGATCTCTAAAGCATGCCTGCAGGAATTGGCTTTGGCACTAAGAATTTCCCAGACTGCTTGCCTCAACGATTTTCAATGCCCAAAGGCTTTTGGGGAGGTTTTCTTTCCTTCAAAGTATGGCACCCAGAAACCGTCTCAAGTCGAACCTGAAAACGTTTGATGATATGCGGGATGACGATGAAGGCCCAAGTCAAAAGGTACTTAAACATGGCCACATCTTGCAGGTCTGCTTCAGAGCGAAAAGGGGTTCTTGAGTTGTAAACTGTATGTCGATTAGTTTACACTATCCACTTCTGATGTGCTGTTGTATTAGGACCCACTGTGCAAACGCACAGGACGACACATTGAACACACAGACAGAGTTGCCTGCATTCAAGGAGCTGGAAGCAATTGATTGCCATGTTTGTAAGGGCAGACCTACCTTGCAAGTAACATGCCCACGGAGCTTCACCAAGGGTGCATTTGATCACAAGACGATGTAGCAGGTTTAGAGTCCTGTGGACGCTTTTGCTTCTGTACAACCTTCAGGTAATACCAAAAGGTGCTGCTGAACATGGGTAGCAGGTGTCAGACTTGGGTTTCGCACCAGCCTTGTGCGCCAACGGAGGCCGACTTGATTATCAAATTTTCGAGGACAGGCAGAGTTTCTTCGAGCAGCCCGAACATGGCTTCTCAAAACACTTCATGCCAAACCTGCCCAGCATCTCTATACAGTTAACTTCAGTCTGATTTCTCTTCCAAATTGGTGAGCTTTGTGGATCAAGTTGCAGACCAACTGTTGACTTCTCAGTGGCTTAGCCAGCTTGAGACTCCTGATTGCTTTTGTCACATTTGCACTTGGCACACCTGTCCTTCGGATCGAAAGGTATAGGATGTATGTAGATCAGTCATCCAGTCTACAGACTTTAACATTTACAGTATTCTTGCCGTTTCCAAGGAGCATAAAGCTGGACAATCTGGTATTTTCCCGGACTAGGATTATTGTCAGCAATCCAAAGACCTTACCGTCAGCCATGGAGACAGTTGCCGAGCCATCTCAGCCGGCAGGACATTGCCCCAGACTGAATGAGGATAGGTCATATCTACAGGGCGTTAATTGGCTTCATCCAATTTTAAGGCCATTTGTCGGTCTTCAAAGTGCTACAGTGCCAGAAGTGCTTTCAGGTTTGCTTGTGGCATTATGGCCTTCTCAGAGGTTTTGCTGTGCAAACATCCTTAAGATTTTTTCAAGGAAAAGTTGAGAAGCCCAAGAAAGCAGACTTTCGACAGCGTGCGCATTGCAACCCTCTTTGCGACTGGGGTGATTGCTATCCAGTTTTCTTGTCGGCACTTGACAAGCTGCAATCTTGAGATGATGCATCGCGCTTCCTGAAATTTGGCTTCAACTTCAACCTTTCATCGTGCGAAGGTTTCCCCTGATCACGTGGACTGGTCAGTCCATTTTCCCAAATTCTTCCCCAGCGACGGGAAAGACGAGTTGCTCCTCAACACTTCTGAATACCCCATTCAGATGCTCGTCTTACACCTTGCAATGAAGTGATTCTTATGACTTGTCTTGATCACTGAAGCATCATCAATGACCCGGGGTGCAAACAATAAGGTATCCACAGACTTCAGTACGCCCAGAATGCAGCGGCAAGGCCTGGCATCTGGCTATGGACCACTGGCAATTGACAGTCTGGCTCTTGACCGCCATGCCGCTGCAAACAAATTCCAAATTTCTGCAGGCTGGATGTCATCAGGTTCGATTCTTGGACGTGGGTTGTGGATTTGGAGGACTTCTCATGGCTTTGAGCCCCAAGTATCCAAACACGCAACTTGGATGACAGAGTTGGGGGAGAGGGTGCGTCCACAAGAATTTGTGCCACTCATGGATGGATTTGACCGGACTAGGCTGATGCTAGGCATGGAGATCCGAGAGCAAGTCACCAACTATGTGGGGAAGCGAATTCAAGCCATGCGGCAAGGGGCTGAAGGAGAACCATCCCATCACAACGTTTCGGCTCCTAAGCATGCAGAGAGAAAGATAGAGAGAGAGAGACATGACTTCACACATGGATGTGCAAGGTTATCCGAACGAATGCCATGAAGTTTCTGCCCAATTACTTTCGGTTGCTCAGCTGTAGTGAGTCAAGACATTGTGGCCAAGTGTTTAGTCGTGGAATTGGTGGAGGAAAGGCCAGCTGGAGAAGATGTTCTTTTGCTTCCCGGACCCTCACTTCAAACGACTCCAAGTTGCAAGGAAGCAATTGGACGGAGACGTGACGGAGACATGTTTTCTGGCTGCCTGAATTCGACTTCGTGATATGAGGAAAGAACGCCCGGAGGAGAATCATAAGCTATGGTTTGCTCTCTGTCTATGCATACTTGATGTCTCCCGGTGGGTTGCTGCGGCCTCAGGACCTCAGGTTTCTCATAGCTGTGTTTGAGCAGCTTCAAGTCTACTTACTACAGAGGAGAATCAACAAACAAACATCATTTTTGACGAGCGAAGCCTGTTCCAAAACATTCCAAACTACAGACTACATCATTGTCCATCATTCCGGTAGAGGTAAAGAATCATTGGTTTGGTAACATCTAAGGTTGTACCATGCTACTGACGTGAAGGAGCTTCATCAGTGGATGGATCAGGCATGTGAGGAGCATCCGCTTTTTGCTCGAGCATCAGCCTCAGCATGCGATGCTCGATGGCCATAGCCTCCCATTGCTTTGCAGTTCCTCGGTCTTTGTCGTGAGGTGCCTCAAGAAGAGATTAAAGATGATCCATGCGTGGAAGCTGTTACTTCAGAGACGGAAGAATCCAAGAGAGTTGGACCCTGAATTCAGTGGCCTTTCCGCGAGCTTGATACTGGAGTGCAGTATGCCATACAAACTGCCTCACAAAAATTTGCGAATATTGAGCGTAGGTCTACTCAAAGCTAGCTTTTCCAAAAATTGCAGTTGGACTGAGAGCCAATGGTTTCAGGTGAAGAACCTGGGCCGCTTTGGCCACGATGTACACTTGAGAGCCTCGACAGAAAGAAACACTTGGCTGCTGAAGTGTTGTTGATATTTTGCAGACAAATTCTTGCCCCACTTCAGGTGTCTTTCGCCGCATTAGCCCTGATGGCTGAGAAAGCATCGCAAAAAGTGCGTGCTGCTTTTGGCCGGCTGTGTTTGGATTGGACGTTCTACTCCTCTTGAGCAGTGAATTCCTGCAGTTCCGCAGGACGTGCCCCAAAATGAGTTTGCATGAAAGCAAGCCGACGCGAGAGCTGAAGCTCACAGAGTTCAGGCAGGTTTTGATGGCCGCGTCTCTTCTGTGACCTTGCTGCCCTGCATCCCAACAAAAGCCTTTTTCTGAGCAAAGAGAGAGAGAGAGAGAGTCTATGGATAAAGAGATGATACCGATGAGGTTTCGAGGGGTGTTCTTGGATGTCCTTCCACAGCTCGCTTGGCTCGAGCTAATATGAACTGTGCTTGCCAAATAGTTTTTGCTCCTGACCGACTCTGAACGCGGCAACAATGCTCAGCAAGTTCTTGAGCTGCTTCGGACTTTTGCTTCCAACTGTAGCATTGCGGGCCATTTTCGATGGAGAAGAGAGAGACACAGGCGAGAACACAGCTACACACTTATAGAAATGCGTACTGATGTGAATGCGGTGCCACATGCCAGCCTAAGTGAAAACAACTTGAGATACCAGGACAAGTAGTAGGTTAAAGACCATCACTTTTAGATAGTTGAAGGTCATCGCAAGGCCGTTGGAGGTCAACACCTAAGGTTGGAGGCCATCGCTAGTAGGTGGAAGGTAGTATGCACAAACCAACAAAAATGACAAGTAGTAGGTTAAAGGCCATCGCTTTTGGGTTGGAGGCCAACGCAAGGCCGTTGGAGGTCAACGCCTAAGGTTGGAGGCCGTCGCTAGTAGGTGGTAGGTAGTATGCACAAGCAAAACAAAAGTGACAGCGAGCAGCAAGGTTGGGGGTCACCACTCTTAAGTTGGAGGCCGACGAGGGCAGGTTGAGGGGCCACCGCTAGTAGGTTGGTGACAAGAAACATAAGAAGCACAAGACACACAAGACAGCCAAAGTTAGGGGCCAATGCTAGTGGGTAGAGGCCAAAAAGTTCGGGTTGAAGGTCCACGTTACAAGATTGGGGGCCAAACCTATAGAGTAGACTAGAGGAATACAGAAGGAAAGGCACCGACACACACAAGTGTGTCGAGTACCATTTCCTCCTGTTTTCCTAAATAGTGGAGCAGGTACGCAGGGCTGATCAGGCCCTGCTGACCACTCTCGCCCACAGCTTCGTTGCGTGAGGTAGGGCGAGAGTGCCACACGCCCCTGCTCCAAACCGAAAGGTTCCCTGTGAATCCAAGGGTTACACACACACACACACCCACACGCACGTGAACACGCGAAGATGTGTATATAATATAATTACTGCACATACAAAGATATATATATATGTATATTTGTTAACTTACACTTATTGTATTTATATATTGAGCTTGTCCGGCTACCCTTAACAGTCAGCAAACAGTTGTCACCATTTTGATGAAAAAATCATCAACCACTGTTACTGGTAATAGGATAGGCCCAATTCATATATTTATTTATGTGCTTGTTTATGCATACACACGTAGGTAAAACAACATAACACAACAAAGCAAAACAGAACAGAACAAAACAGAACAGAACAAAACAAAACAGAACAAAATAGAACAGAACAGAACAGACATATATACATACATCCATGCATACATACATGCATACATACATGCATAGATAGATAGATAGATACATAGATAGATACATACATACATACATGCATGCATACGTACATGTGTATTTGCCGTACATGTGTATTTGCCGTACAACACAGTCAGAAAGAACAGAGTAGGTGTTTTTTTGAAACATGTTCTTCGCACCTCTTCGCATTGCTAGCTGTGTGCAGGAGGACGTGGCATCATCCCTCACAGGCGTTTGGTGATGGTAGTGTATCCAGCCATGGCCGTAGCGGCAGTTCTTTTCATTTGCCTGTTTGTCACTGCGCTGGGCAGAGCACCCGGAGAGCGCAAGAAGACCGGCCGAAAATCAATCAAGGCAGCTGTCAGAGTCGAGTGCCGTGCACAATTTTTTGATCAAACAGTTTTTTAGCAGACAATACCCTACCGGGACCGAAACGTGGCTACAGGACTACAGATTGATGCAGCATCTGGGTGTTAGCGATGCAGTGGAAGAGCTTCACCCAGAGACCAGTTTCACAGAAGATTTCGGCAAGGCTTGTTGCAAGAGATTCGTGTTTTTGTCCGCCTTGAGTGGATGTTTGTGTGGCCCCTCTTGCGCCACATGGTCACCTTGAGGGCTTTACAAATTCCGGTCGCGCACAACATACAGCATGCCGAGAGCATCTCACAATCATTAATGTATCAGCGTTGTGTTGCACTCGCCAGGCCAAGACTTGCTTAAGAACAGGATTTTCGCACCGCTGCTCACTCCATTGTTCTATGCCTTTCTGCCCTGAAGCTACCAACCCCTTGTCCTAAATGCGCCGCACCTCGCAATATTGCACTTTATGTATGTGTATAAAACTACTCACCTGAGGCCTGCCCAGGTTCAGTAGAAACACCTTTGAACTCATGGGTTGCACATCAGAAGGGGCAGCAGCATGCAAGGCCTTACTTTCGACAAACATATCAAAGCCGGAACCAGTAGATGGATAAGCTATAGCAAAGTAAGGCTTTGGTCATTGACTACATGTAGTTTTCAGGGTTGCCAGTCAAATATTCCGAGCAAGTCTTTTTCTTTGTCAGTGCTGCAAGGCCTTTACACGGCCTCGGTTGTTCGCTTTTTTGGTGGCAATTGCCTTGACCTTTGCCCTAGCTGTCTTTGGAGACAATAAGCTTTTTGCCGTTGAGCATTCCTTGGCAAATGTTGCTTCAGTGGAAGCTTGTCAAGCAGCCTGCTCCGCAAATCCTTTGGCGTGACCCGGCCAAAGGTTTTCAAACAATGTCCCGACGCTGGGTAAGCGGCTAAGCCTTCTGCGAAGCTTGTTCATAAGGCATTGTGACAGCCTGAAGTTCGAGAAGAGATTTTGCACTCCGTTGGGCAAGTATTGCGGCCTGGCGACGCTTAAGCATGTTCAATGTGCCCCCTCTCGGCGCCCCTCACACACTCACGTCGTATCTTGTGGACACCTAGCAACCACTGCAAACCTCTGCCCGACTAGGCGCTGCACAGAAGTCTAAATCGAGTACAGTAGAATTTGTCATGCCCTTAGCGTTTCACGTCGATGCCAAGTTGATGCCAAGTTGATGCCACGGATTTACGAGTGCTTGTTTTATGGAACACTTGCCTCAGGTCTCCTGTAGCTTCAGCATTGTCCCCGAGGCGCCTGCGGGTTAGGGCCTTTAATGGTGGCATCGGTCAGAAGATGCAAACTGGACAAGACTAGAAACGGAGTTGATGACTTGAGAGTTGGGAGCCGAGCCCTCAAACCAGCTTGTGTGAGCTATGTTGCAGTGACTGCAGGCATGGAAAGTTGATTTGGTCGTCATGTCAGCGATCATCGGCATATTTTTGATTGTTGATGGCTTGTCTGCAGAGCTCATCCTCTTTGGGCTTAGCTGCATTTATGGAATTTTTGGCGTTATCAGCAAGAAAGAGGTGGGATCCTTAGTGACAAATATACTCCACCCACACGAGTAGTTTTTTGGTGGTGGATAGGTAAAAAAAGAAGTGAAGAGCCTTTTTAACAAGGCCTTTTAAATCTTTACATTATATTCATCATTTGTTTGTTTGTTTGTTTTTCCCGAATGCGTAGCGAAGGGTTCTCGTTTAACTCTTGGGGGTCTGGGGGTGGAGCCTTGTTCGTGACCCGTTGTTTCTAAGTTCGCAACCGTCCGCAACCGTCCGCAACCGTCCTCAACCGTCCGCAACCGTTCGCACCGTCCGCAACCGTTCGCAGTAGAGCGCTAAGGCGCTGCCATTGGGGGAAGCTTTTGCAAGTGACTATTCATGGATGTGTCACGTGTCAGTTGGCGCCGCTATTCTATTGTGACTTGCATGAAAAAGACATGTCGCGCAAGAAACGTGATGCGTTTCGCTGCACAGGCGCAGCGTTTGGTGAGATCTGCAGATTGCTGCGCAGTTCCATTGAGATTAGCGTTTGGAGAGTCGTGTTTTTGGGGTGTTGGATGTGGCCGTGCCATTGGGATTTGCGTTTCAGATCAGGGTGTGGCATCGAAGCTCTGTTTTCGTGACAAGTCTCAGCTGAAATGGCGATTTTGGTGGATGGGAGTATGCTCAGAACGGGTCGAAATCATTCCAAACGTGTGGTGTGGTGCAAATGTTGTTGAAGCTCACATGAGATGATATTGTCACTTTTCGTGGCAGGCGCAGTACTTTGTGCGGATTTTGAGGTGTGGAAGTGCGATTTTCGTGGCAGGTGCCGGGAATCGTGAGGTTGCGAAGTGTGACGGAGGTGACATTTCGTGGCAGGCGCAATACTTTGTGCGCGTTAGACGTGTGGACGCGGAAAGATTCGTGGCAGGCGCAGGGAATTGTGAGGGTGTGAGTTGTGGTAGAGGTGAATGTCGCTGTCACAGTGGGGATTGGCGTGTGAGCGGATGTTGTTAGGGGCTGGAATCGCGAAACTGCTTGGCAGGGCTGCGTGATGTGTGTGCTCCGATGGGTGTTTCCGCTGGACTTTTGGAGGAAGTCTCGTACGAAATGCTCGTTTTGCAGACTTTGACATGTGAGTTTTGGAGGAAGTCTCGTACGAAACGCTCGTTTTGGAGACTTTTGGAGGAAGTCTCGTACGAAACGCTCGTTTTGGAGACTTGAC